TTCTTGATTTTTTACTTCTTATTGGTATATTATAAATAATGACAAAATTTTCTTTCTTTGAAAAGGAAGTTAGCAAAGAATGGAGTTAGAGATTTACAAATGTAATCGCTGATATGTTTCATACCATTAACCCCAGCCTCCATCTGAAATAACAAACAGAAGCATTGGTGACTGCAAATACCAGGAAGGAATCCCTGGAGACCCACATTTTCCTTCACACCCATTCTGGCTGTGTTTTGCTTTTTGGCTTAATACATATCAAACATACTGTGACTTCAAAATTGTAATAACATAGAATTGCAGTTCCACATTGTTTCGAAGCAGTACCAAGGCACACTTTTATGTAGTTCCCTTAATAGCTCTTGCTTACTCAAAGCTGATGGAAAAATAAAAACAGTTGCAGGTACAAAGGTAATGAGTCTACTCTTTTTTTTTTTTTAAACATGGTCTCACTCTGTAGTCCAGGCTAGTCTTGAACTTGTGATCCTTCTGCCTCAGCAACTCAGTCATATGTGGAGTTATACACATGTGCTTCTAAGCCCAGTGGGCATGGATCTACTCTTAATATGAATCGATCTTTATGTCCCCCCCCCCCCAGCATTAACTTCAGCGTCTTTCTTCTATTCAGGTAAATCTTAGACCAATGAGACCAGTATAAATTAAACAGAGTACACGGACTTACACAGGTCTGTAGATCTACCTCAGTCATAATAGAAAAGCTCTCTTTTTTCTTCTGTAAAATCACCCTCACCCAAGTGCACTCAGCAACATTTATTGCTTTCATTTATGGGTGGATGGCTTTAAAGGTATCTATCCCCACAGTGATGACCCTAGTCAGAGGAGAAAGCAGCATTCACTTTGTCACTTCCTGTTGTCACCTCTAAGACATTCACAGCAGGTCACAGTGTTAGGTGTTGGCTCTGAGCATTTTTTGGTTCTCAGGCAAGTCAGTCTAGAAAGACTGGCAACAACTTAGGCCAGGACATGGTAAGGCTGTGTTTATTCTGTTTCTTTCTGTTGGTGGCAGCTGTGAGTTTTAGATACCATCTGCTGAAGGCAACTGCCTAGTTAACTGTGCTATTCTTGATTTCTTTACAGTCCACAGTTCTACTACCAACCTTACCCCACTCTGCTGCTCCCTCATTATACCCTTCTGTCTCCATCAGGACTGAAACACAGCCATAACACACTGAGTTTACCCTCAATCCACTTGGCTGAGAGCTCTTTTACTTGCACCGATCCTCTCACCCACTTCCCTTGCCCTGTGGGCTTACTTGGAAGATGTCTGGAAGAGAACTTCATCTCACTGGCATGAAATAAATGTGTTAGCCATCTGATGCTGTAACAAAATACCTGATGAAACCAACTTAATAGAGAAAATGGTTGATTTTGGCTCACAGTTTCATGGTTACTTGACCCTGCTGATTTCTGGGCCTGTGGTAGGACGGTACATCTTACGTTGGGAGCTTCTGATAGAGGAGACTGCTCATCTCATGGTAGCTGGGAAGCGAAAGAGAGAGGTGGAAGGGAGGCACAAGGGTCCAAAGTCCCCTGCAGAGTCAGCCTCCAGTGCCTCACTGCTTCCCCCTAGGATGCACCTCCTAAAGTTCTCCAACCCACCATTAACACCAAAATAGGGACAAAGCCTTCCACACCTGGCCTTTGGGGTCCAGTTCAAATCCAGACTGTAGCCGTATTGCGAAGGACGCTAAGATCTATTGTTGAAATTATGCTGTGTATCTGTAATGTTAGTAGGGATTTCTCAGACGGCCACTAGGCATGTTAAACCTCATTAATTATGGTTTCTAACAATCGGGAATCTAAGACAGTTCTCTGGGATGACATTTATCTTTGCATTTTCTGTGGCAAGAAGAGTTTGCTAAGCAAATGAAGAGCAGAAATAATATTTTCAAGGTAGAGTTTGAACTACTTGAGGAAAGATATCTAAGGACTCTGGGGCTTTCATTTTCATTCGAACAACAAATGATTTTCCACCTGGACACCACAGCCAGCTGTCCTCTTCCTGGCTAGTCCGTTTCTGCACAGCTATTACCACTAAGCCCTCCAGCTTCCCAAGCCAGTCAACTTATCCTCTATCTGCTTTCTGGGCCCCTCCTCTCTTTCTACCCTAGGCCCTGATTGGTAAATGCTTCCTCCAGACACTAGAAAAACCCTGTAGGAATCCTACATTTGCTCTCATACCAAGAGCTGCAGCCCACTGGTTTTTTAAAATTTTCCATAAGCACCCATGATTCTTTTACCTTATAAATGTAAGATCTTCAATCTCCTTATTCCCAGCACTGGGTTTAGCACAATACTAAAATAAATGTAGATCTGCAGTATCTATCAGAAACACTTGGGGCCAGATGTATTTGGGGATTCATACATTGTCTGATTTCAGGGGCATAACTTGGTGCATAAAACATGTTCTACATAATACACAAACAGCAACACTTCATCACCAAGTGTGTTATTTTTGCAACAAAATCTATGAATTTCTCTCTTGTAATTACGTAAATAGCCTTCCATTAGGTTTGGTCAAGAAAAAAAAAAAAACAACAACAACAACAACAACAACAACAACATTTTATTCAACATGTTTTGTTGGTAAGTTATTTTGAATTTCAGAATAATGATTAAGGGATTATGGAGCTATGGACAGTATATAATGGCCGTTTACCACTATCCAGAATTGAAAGAAATACGTTCTTCAAGTTTTGCTTAATTCAGATTAGTCTTCTCCAGAATTAGTCCAAATTACTGAGGCTTTCCTTATAAGACTGTCTTGAAATTACAAGAATCTCATGATTACAAGGCTATCCATATCATTTAAATTTTTTCTAATTTGAACTCTATTTTCAAACTAGTTTTATATTACTTATTAAACAACAAGTGTTGCTTCTTAGTTGTTCATTTTGAAAAAAAAATGTAAATATAAATTAATCCTTTCGGCCTCTCTTTGCCTAATGAAAGGCTCTGTTGGAAGAAGATGACATTGACTATCTTTAGGCAGGGTATATTTCTATTTAAAAAAAATACCAGTTATGCTAATCCTCCTTGTCCCCACATAAGAGTTAACTTTAAGTGTAAATTGATGCAATTTGTAATATCAAGCAAGCAAATCCCAGAAAACATCTCTACGCACAGTTAAACATAGACAAGTATCACTCTGCTAAACTCAATCAATAAACCTTTCTTTTAACAGAGCCAAGCCAAACACTGCACCAGTGGTGCACAGTTTGTATATTCATCACGGGACACTGGCCGTATGGGTCACAGCACTCGGACAGGCAATTCCTACGCAGTTATTTTAACATTAGAAAGTCACAATCAGTCAACTTAACAGCAGGGCAATAATTTGGAGACCAGGGAGATGGCTACTCAAAAATGACACTACGAGAAGCAAACAGTAGTTCCAAGAGGCCCTGCTTGAGCATGAAGACTTAAGGTAAGTAGAATTTCTTTCCACTTGTGGAACCAAGTACTATGCAATGTGTTCTATGTAAGCATGTTATTTGTGGGGGGTGAAAAGAAAAGCCCTTCTTGCAAAGCTAAAGAAAATAGACCCTCCCTGGACATGTGGAGATAAGAGATAGATCTGCCGTCACAGAACTAAAGAAAGACGAAGGGCCACCTTTCTCCAACTGTGTGTCACAAACCACTTCCAATGACCTGTGATACCTGAAGTCAGCATTCCGAGGGCCAGCCAGATAGCTCAGTGGACTAAAGTGCCTGCTTAGGCAGAGCGCAGCGGCCGGGGTTCAATCCCTAGTGTGCCAGCCCTGCCCCCAGGGCGCACTGAGACAGTGACTGAGACTGGGCGTGGTGGCGCATGCCTGTAGTCCCAGCACTTGGGAGGTTGAACACAGGAGTATTACTACAAGTCCGATCTGTGTAATGAGACCCTGTAGACCCTGTGCCACATACATTAGGAAAAAAAAAAAAAAGACATTTCCGACTATGTGGCTTGACTTGGTAGTGTAAATTAATCACCCTTCCAGGATTCTTGTGACACAGGCCTCCTTGGAGACATGGAAGATGCTTGGACTTTGTTCTTGAAGGGTAACAGGGCTGACAACACTACTGCTATCGCAAATCTTTCCTAGACACAGAAAGCCTGGGTCTCCCTTTGTGTTCTCCTACACGTGTGAAGAGAATGGTCAGCACTGAGGGCTTCTGAGTTTCTGTCAACAGCTGGGAGGAAAGAAACAACTGGCTGGAAGTTCCTGGCTATTGAGTTGGTGGTGGGATGGGAGTGGGGGTGAGGGAGGGGAGGAAGTGTGAACTACAGTGAGTGGTCCTCAAATGTTTTCATTCAGTAATAACTCTGAGAACACACAGACCTGCCCTGAGTGATGGCCATGCGATGGTAAAGGGACAGCAAACACATCTTTTCTTTTATTCTGGAAAGGAGAAACGAAAAAGGAAGAATGGATAGGAAATTATGTATTGATGGCTGACATGGCAAAAGACGCACTCGATGGATAGATGTAGATAATCATAGCTAAGAGGAGGGATGGAACCTGGGTAGCAAGATTTTTTTGATGAGCTGTGTTGCTTCTATGGCAACCAGCGTGATCTTTGTGGCAACCCACATGCCGCCAGTGTCACAACCTGCCTGCCTGGGGACTACTGTTCTCACCACTGTCCTCTGGTATCTTGTTGGCTGCCTGCCTAAAATACTGATAATATTTAAGGCAAATTATTTTCAGGTTATACTTGATTATTTTAAGGAAAAATTCACAGTATGTGTGAAATATCTGCGAGGAAAGGACAGCCAGCTCTTAAAGCAATAAGCCTTTAAAGCAAAGATGAAGAGGGCATCAATTACTTCATTTTAATAAATTTTTGTGAGCATTTCATTGCACATCTCCTTTTCTAAAAGCTATCTTCACCAAAATAACTACAATGCGTAAGCAAGTATCTGAAAACCCACACACTGCGGAAAAGCAATTCTTAAGCAAGCCATTATAAGAGCGAAGTCAATGTTGTGTCCATACCTGGAGTGGATATTCTTCCGTGGAGCACAGACTCACTGGGCAGCAGATCTTTTGAGTTGGAGGTGAATGGTGATTGTCTAAAGGTGTCTTCTGAAAAGAAAGGGCTGGAGATGGGGGAGGAGGAGTGAGTTTTAGTAAATCGCAGTTAACTTAAGACACCCAGAGCCCTCTGGCCCAAATCAACACGTAATATGGGATAAGATGTTGTAGTAAGTGATGTGTAGAGAATGGAGGATTATGGTTAAAACAAACAGCAGTAGGTTCTATCAGAACAGTGCCCTCGGTATACTCTTCTTTTTGGTCTTATATGTAGGGTACAGAGATAAAACGTCACATCCGGGACACTGTCGGATCTCCTGTAGGGCACAACTGAGCAGTTGGTGCTTTCTGGCTGTGTTATGCCTAAAGGACCGGGTCAGGACTCGAAAGCGTTTATCTGCAGGTTTTCCTGGAGTTAGATGGAAATGTCCCTATCTCTGGACCCCATGGGCCAGCAGCACATGTCACAGCTGGCTAGAGCCAGGGACCATCACACCCATGAAAACAACTTCCAGGTCCTCACTGAAAACCGCAGTTACAACCTGAAACTGGGCTGGTTCTGAAGGAGTTCAAAGCCAGGATCAGGGCTGTGGGGAAGGACCTATGGCTGCCTTTGTGTCCAAAACACTTAGGGATCCTAAGCTCTCCTGAGGGACCCTAAGTTCTCCTGGCTCCCCCAGCCTAGCCACCAGGAGAAACAGGGCCACCAGACATTCCATTCGTCTCCTCCCCCATACCACAGCCACAGCCAACACAGAGGTTTGGCTGCATTGAACGAGATGGCTTCAAACCAGCCATAGGGTCTGCCTCCCCGTCTCTGAAGTAAACTCGAAAGTACTGCAATCACACGTGAGAATGCTACAGTAGCCATGGGGTCCAGCCTGGAGTATGAAAAGCCCTGTTTATGTCCAACAGAGAAAATTTCACCCAGGGAACTGGGGTACCCAAGGGTGGAGGAGGAGAAGTCCATGGGGAAGATACAAAGCAGCTTCGAAACCATCACCATGCTGCCATTGGAGGAACAAAGGAGCCCCATGGATCCCAGGCACTGGGGTCATCCAGGGGCTGTGAAAGCGAGACAAGATGAGCATGCGCAATACGAGGGCTCCGCCTTAAGCCCCACCCCAGCTCCACAGGGCCTCGGATTGGCTGAGTTGATACAGAAGGAGGGACTCTCAGGACGTGTGTGTTGCGTTTTTAAACCTGTTCCATTGCTTTGGTCACTGCTACTAAATATGAGGAGGGGGATGTTAAGAGGAAGTGGGAGGCTTTTTTTTTTTTTTTTTTTTTGTAAAACACTGGGGCACTGGGAGGGGAAAGGGCAGATTTGTAGTCTTAGGACAAACACCTCAAAAGCTAGGAGTGGTGGAAGCACACTTGGTGACTTGGCGCATGCACTGGAGAGGAGGCTGCTCCGTAGTCACACTTTTGCTCTCCCATTTGGCAGCTAAGTGCCCTTGCACAGATTCTTAACTCTGAGCCCTACTTGTCTACACAATGGGTTTATAACAGTATCCACATTTCACAAAGGAGCTGTGAAAATTACGTATGCGCGTCCAGGGCAACTGCAACTCTAGCTATAAAAACCGTCCTGAGATTGGATAGCTGACAGAACTGTCTGACATGTACAGAGTTCCCCTTTGGGGCCACCAAGAGTCCCAAGAGAGGCCCTCCAAGTGTACCCAGGACAAGGGCCACCGAGACATATGCTCCACCCTTGTGTTTGTGGTCACTGTCCTTCAGTTTTAGAGTAACTATTTAGCGAAAGCCCACAAGATGCCTGGCACTAGGAGTATAGCCCATGGGCCAGGCATCTGTTAAACCACCAAGCATGAGAGAGAGTTGCACAGGGCCAAGGCTGAGCAGGACGGGGTGTAGTGCCAGGATGGGAGCTGACCACGGCTTTCCTACAGTGTCCCACAGAGCTGAGAGCAGAGCAGGGTCCTGGGGATGGGACCCAGTACCTCTCCAGTGCACAGCCAATCTCAGCGCTGGGAGAAGGCCCACTGTAGAGGGAGAGGAGGCTGGACCCCAGCACAATACCCACAATTTTATCCTAGGAGTACAGACAGCATTGCAGCCTCACGAGCGAGGGGTGATGGAACAGGACATTAGTGGCCACTGCTGCAACAAGTACATTGGAGGAGAATGTGACATGGAGGACAGGGAAGGACGATGGGGCCACTTAAAACCAACTCTGAAGTTTCTAGAGGAAGCAAGCGGAGGCTGCCACATCATATATAAGAACATCCTCCCCAGTTTTGCTGATTATGTCAATCCACAAGATGCCTTTGCATCTTCACGTGGAAGACTTCCACTGATGTGAGGAATGAGGCGCTCTTGTCACCTGGCTGCTCAGGAGAAATGGGGCTGAAAGGCAGGCAATCACTGAGTGAAGCAACTTTCCAAATCATTTTCTACCCTGAATGCCAGCTTTACTGCTTATAGAACAGAGGAAGAAAGAATGTGAAGGGAATTGTGCTGAATACTACAAATGCATAAAAGGAGAGGTAATGCTTTATGGGGGCCAAAAAACAAATGGTGAAACTTCCAGAAGTCAAGACAGTGTAAGATCTTATCCATAACAGAGAAGACGTGAGGCCAAGCCATGACTGGTCTCATGTCAACATTCCATGGCAGGGCTCTGCATTTGTGTCAGGAGACAAAGGATGCAGTGGTTTGACAGCTGGGAATCTGAAGGATCTGATGGGACTGAGCTCCTTATCGGTCACTTAGTTAAGGAAACTTTGTCAAGGCCATAACACCTTGACCCTTAGAGTGGTGCTGTAAGGGCTCAGTGAGCCATCTCAGTTAAATTTTTTAGTACACTCTCAAAAATCAGCAGTAATGTTAGGTATCTGGTGCTATGATAAAGTGCATCGTGTGGGCTGACTGCAGTGAACCCTCATGAGAAGCCTAGGAGAGTCGTGACTTTACAGATGAAGAAACTGTAGCTCACTCAAGTTAGGTAGCTTCCTGCAGCCCAGCCCCATGCTAGGATGTCAACCAGGCAGGATGGCTTCACTGTCTGCACGCTGATCTACGCTGCCCGGTCTTCCGAATGGTCTTTTAACATCTAGGAAATTCTAGACAACACAGACCCACAAATCCTTTGAGAAACAGAGCAAAAATGAAGACGAGGCAGGATGAAGGAGGCGGGGTGCAACCATTTCTGTACCCATGATCCTCGGCATCAGAAGGAAATCTTTTTCAATTGGCACACAGGACAAGTGAAAATCATTTGAGTCCCTACTTCTTTCTCTCTAAAGACAAAGATCCTCTAGTTTTCTAGAACTTCTGCAACCCATGGGTCCGATCAATTTGCAAACAGTCTTTCCTGCTTGCGCCCACTGTTTCTGAGGTCGTGCTTGCCCCGTGAAGCCTCAACAAAAAAGGAAGAGTAACGGGCTCCTTAGGTGTTTGTCACCCTCCATACAACACCAACAGGAGGTGCAGTGTGGTGGCCGCTGCCGCTGCCACGACACAGTGATCTTTCTCCAGGACAGCGCTGCACAAACTAGAAAGGACGACAGGCAGACTTGCAGGCCCCCCCTACAGCGCTCCTCCGACACTGGTCTCCTTGAACTCCATGACCACGTGCTACAGGCTTACATGCCTAACTCTGGGCTGAGCAAGGTCCTTTCCAGACTGCTGAGATAGCATCCCACGAGCTTCTTTTCTTCCGTGCCTCACATGGAGTGGAAAAGACAGAGGTGCAGCGACTCTGCAGCTGGTGCCTCCTTTGCAGGGCACAAAGCACCACAGCGAGGGGTGATGAGGACAGCGCTGAGGGCTGTACAGTGGCCACCACAGTGTGGGTGGAAGGTCTAGGGCCAGCCAACATAGGCCCCACTGGAGCTGTCTCTTCCGAAGGAGGAAAATGCTACCCACAAAACACCTGGCTTCACCTTTGTTCAGTCTTTCATTAAAGGTGTCAGTCTTTCATTCTAGGTGTCATAAAGCTACCTAGAAGGCAGCCAGCTGATGGATATCATATAGAGCCTGCTCCCTGCTCCAACTGCCCAACATTTGTCATTTTATGGTGAAAAAGACCTATCGAAAGTTGAGCTAAGGAAGTGAAAAAAAGAAAATCAGTAAAAAGGAAAGAAGGAAAGAAAAGGAGAGAGGGGGAGGGAAAAGAAAATTTATTTATTTATGGTTAATATATTTGGTAAAAAGGAAGGGCCAGTGAGATAGCTCAGTAAACTAACCGCCTGCTTAGGCAAGTGCAACAACCTAGATTTAATCCCCAGCACCACATGCAATGCCAGCCCCTCCCCCTGGGCAGGCTGAGCCAGTCACTGAGACTGGGAATGGTAGTGCACGCCTGTAATCCCAGCGCTGGGGAGGCTGAGACAGTAATTTCACTACCAGTCCGCGCTGCGTAGTAAGACCCTGTACCAGATACACATAAATAAATAAATAAATAAACAAACAAATAAGGTGGTAGGAGAGGATGGTGAAACTATTACCCTGTGAGCCAAGGTCATCACTTCCTTTAACAAAATTAGCATCTACTACAACATACAGTATTCCCCTCAGCCTGGAAAGCAGCACAGGAGACTTAGGGAACTCATGGGAGACTTAGCAAACTCATTTACATGTCGAATAAATATTCAGTAGCAGCATCTGGGTGTTACTACTATGGACTTTGGTATCACCCAAATTCTCAATTACTTTTTCTGGGTTTTATTATTTAGAAATGATGTCTTATAAAACTGTTATGTGAAGGGCCAGCAAGATAGCTCAGTGGACTAAATGCCTGCTTAGGCAAGTGCTGGGACTGGGGTTTGATCTCCATTACCCCATGCTGCGCCGGCATCGCCCCAGGGTGAGCAGAGGTGGCAACGGAGTTTGGGCTTTGTGGTGTGTGCCTGTAATCTCAGCGCTGGGAACACTGAAAACAGGAGGATCACTACACGTATGAGCTGCATAGTGAGACCCTGTATCAAATACATTTTTAAAAAAATCAAACAACAAGAAGACTATTATGTCAGTTTGTTTTCTGGTTAAAAGTGAAAAAGGCACTGAAGGTGTATGGCTGCCCTTTTTTTTCCTGTAGAAA